TATTGTTCTTCAGATAGCCTAAAATAGGGGGTTTATGTTGGGAGTATTGATACCCATTCTTCTTGTATCGATATTGTTCGTTGGGTATCGATACATAAGGGTGGAGTATCGATACCATGTTCAATTTATAGATTCCAATAGCCCATTTGTGGTATCGGTACTCATGGGAGTATCAATAGTAAGAGTAGGGTATCGATACATTTAATAAGTATATCGATACTGAATTAAATTTCAAACATCAAAGAAAATTTTGTATCGATACTCAGGTGGTATCGATACCCCATTCCAGAAGCATCAATACTCTAGCTAAGGGTATCATACTGTCTAGTTTTCTCAAATTTCAGTAGATAATTTTATATCGGTATCAAAAGTAGATATTGATACTCAAGTGTCAGTATCGATACTGAATGACTCAGTATCGGTATCAGCATACTGAATTGGATAAGAAACCCAATTGATTAAGGGGTGGGATAAAGGTGCCTAACAATATCAAAACTTCACTAAATAAGACTACAATTGAGAACAATAATGAATACAATTACAGCTAGGAACGATACCAATTAAGATAATATAAAACTATCCTTTGTGTGATGGTCGGGAAACAACCAGGATATCCGAGTCACTTTAGCAGTATGAAGATCGTCTTGCATGTTAGATTTTTCGGATATAACTCAGCTAGTGCTTAGGTACTTCAGTTATAGGCTGGGCGCAGATGCGCCGAGACTCTCAGGAGTGAGCTAGCAGGGTGTACATTTCCGATGCAGTTCCGGATCTCACCCAGATACCCAAGGGTATCTTAGGTAGGCTAGAGGGGTGTGTGTTCTGAGATGTAGAACCCTCTTACCGCACCCTGATGCCTACCTTAGCTTTGCATGTTAGTATCTTTATATGTTCGTACATATTGCACTACAATGCTCATATAGTGAATGCACGTAGTATAGTACAATTATTAGTGTGAAACTGAGCTAAAAAACTCACCGTTCGGAATGTGTTTTTCGTGCACAAGATCTTACGAGATTTTCGAGAAGCTTATTGTCACCAGTGATTCCAGACTCATAGAGGCTTTAGAGTACATCTTTAGCCATATTTAGAGGGCATGTACTATTCGTAGATCCCTTTTTATTCAGTCATAACTCTATTTTTGATATACTTTATTTGTACCTCTGGGATGTATTTTGGGAGATCCGCATATTTGTAAATTTGAATAACATGTTTTTATTTTACAACTTTGATGAATGGTTTTATATGATGTTTGACAAATGTTTTAAAGAATAATTTTGGGTTACTCACTTCGGTGGTACCATGTAATATACTCTAGTTCATCGATCTCCGGTTCATATCAGATTAGGATGTTACAATAAAAGTATGATGGGCACCTAATATCAGTAATGTGTCGCATTGCTCGTTCGACATTCGTTAGAACTCGGCCCTTACAAACCAACCATAAAAATAACGTAATTTTCTCCTCGAAACATATGTAGGATAGGCCAGACTTTCTCCTCAACCACATTAGGATGACCAACAGAGAACTCATAAGCCGATTTCATAGTGAATTGACGATCATCCCGAAGACTTCAACCTAACGTATCATAAGCAAAATGAGTCTTTGGCCCTTTTTTGCCGCAGTTTTTAACGACGCATTCAAAAGGAAAAAGAAGTTGAACTGAGACCAACATCAATTTTCATTAGCATCAACCATATCGAACACCATGACCCGATTCATACCAATCGCCCCAGTTGCAACAACGTGATCAATAAGAGGTCCACAATTATCATGCCAAGCATCGAACCAGAAGGCAATCATTCGACCATTACCCACATAACAACTTATATTCCTCCGAACATCAGACCCAACAAATTCCAGTCCTATCCAAAGTTTAGAACACCGAGAGCCCCGAATAGTATCTGGAATACCATCCAAGCATTTTTACTTAGCTCGAAGGAATCGCACCCATAATTGATCCTTTTTAGCTAAAATATTAAATGTCAGTTTCATTAAAAACGTCATTTTGTTTCTCAAGCTTCCGAAACCCAAGGCCATCAAACTTTGTCGGTTGACAAACATTATTCCATTTGACAAGATGAACATCGCCAAGACCTTCAGGGATAACCCCTAATAAAACATATAATTAGACACTCAATTTCACCACAAAACTCGCCTTGGAATAATCGAAAACTGCATTGTATATAAGGAAGATGAGCTAAAACTGTTTTCGCTAGTGTCACTCTACCGACAAAAGAAAGTGACCGCATTTTTCAACCGCTCAATCTGTCTCAAACCATCTTGATCAGGTACTGATACATAGCTTTTGAAACTCGCCCATGCAACAAAGGAACTCCAAGATACTTCCCTAAGTTCGACACCAGAGAGTACCCAAACGCAGTACTGATTTGATCACTTAATCTTTGAAGGACATTCCTAGAGAAAAACAAAGTAATCTTCGCCACACTCACATTTTGTCCCGAGGCCAAACGAAATTTATAAAGTACAGAGCGAATCACTTCCCCTTGGTCACAAGACACCTCAGCAAAAAGTATCATGTCATCAGCAAACAATAAATGAGAGATGCTAGGCACTGAACTAGAGGTACAAAAAGGATGCCAACATCCACTAACAACCATTCTTTGAATAGCCTGAGCTAGTCTTTCTAAACAAAGTACAAATAAATTAGGCGATAATGAGTCTCCCTGTCGAATACCCCGAGATGGAGTAAACGCCGCAATCATACTATCATTCCAAAGGATACGAGTACAGACCGAGGATACACAACGCATGATAATTTGGAGCAAGGCTACTGAAATACCCAAGTCAACCAATGTATCTTCAATAAAACTCCACTTGATACGATCATAAACCTTTTAAGATCTATTTTAATTGCCATCCACCACTTTCGCCCCATTTTATGAATAACATCCTGAGTAACTGACGTTTTCAACAATTGAACGGACTGGCACAAAACTGGTTTGACTACATAGTGCTATGTTTTTTAGTCAGTTGACTATTCAATGTTATAAATTGTCTCCAAACTATATGATGTTATTTTATTGAGTTCTTCAACTATTAAAAGCTACAAAATGGTTACTTGACTATTCATATGTTTCGAACTTGTCCTTTACGTTGAAAATTTGATGACCATTTGAGTTGGACGATAACCTACTGACTGAGATGTGATAAAATTATACTTTAATGATGTCTACTGGCATTGTCGTTGCTTTCAAGCACGGGCTCGACAATATAATGTTGCAAGCATTGACTCGACGACATAATGAAAACGGAGAGTTGATCCACAAAATACATCACAAATGATATTTGATAAAATTTTATCTTATCTCGGTCAACATGCTAATGTACAATTCATACAACTGCAGCACCCTATAATTATGTGACAATTTATGTATTTTACCTTTTTTAACTTGACTGCTCACAGTCAAAGCTTTCGATGCATTTTAACAAACGAGGTTAGTTCAAGTGGTAAGCAAATTGATATCATTTAAGTAGGACTCAAGTTCGAGGCCTCATGTATACGAAAAATTCTGATTGGGAGACTCATCCATCAAAGTAAAGCATACAACACGGATCAGTCTAGACTAATTAGTACAAAGTCCTGAAAAACGAGAGGACAAAAAAGAAACGGAATACGAGGAATTTCAATTTGGTGTAACTTTCTTTCCTAGTTAATTCATGTTATAAAAACTTAACATAAGGTCCCTCAGCAGCCAATTAATCTAATTTCCCTGCTTAATACTCGTTAATTAAGTAACAATGAAACCCAAAGGCACTCCCAATTACAACATTATCAAAGAGATACGATTATTATTCAATCTTATTCAGAAAACCAATAATTAATGTAGTCTTCCATTAAATCAACAATCAATGATGCTTGAAATAAATTTACAAAATACTAGGGTTTCTAATTCTTGCTAGAAGGCTTTCTTAATTAGCCAAATACACTAAACCTAATGCTTGATCCAGTTAATAATCCATGCATTTTACTGATATGTGGTTTAGTAGGGTATTATGATAATAGGTTTATAAACATTATGTAATAATCCATGCAGTACTTTTCTGCATTGAAGAGAAAACAAATCATTAATCTATTTTTTCTTTCTTTAAATCATTCCTTAACTAGTATCACTAGATACTTGCTAAATTTTTTTATATATTTGATATTATTGATAAAACTTCTGTCTTAACAAAAATAAAAAAATAAAAAAAATCTACACAAATTAAAAAATAACAAACTAAAAATAACTTTGATGATACTTACAGGATCAGTCTGAGGCCATTGGCTATCTTTAAAAATTTTAAATTCTCATTTATTTTAAATATATTTTTATTTTATATTGATAATTTATTTTCATCCTCCTCAAATATTATAAGTTCACCCTAATATAAAATCATGTGTCGGTACTGCCATGAACAAAGATGCTTTCTGACTTTTGTCAAGAACTTCTACATGACCTATCGATAGTTCCATAAGAAAGCTTTAGCTCTAAACAAGCTGATTTTCCTTTTTAAAAGTTTTGATTGATGTAGAGAGGTGCAACCAGCTGTTTAAGGGAGAATTTGGAAAACTTCCTTAAGCCTAAAGGATGCATTCCCACCACCACCTTTTCACTTTAAGGAAAATATATTCTACTGCAACTTATTTTTTCCAGAAATACTTGATACTGATTACTGAAAAAAGAAAACGTAGTTTTTTTTAGCACTTTGATGCATTAAACTAGAATGCGACAAGAAGAGATAATGCATGATGAATCTCTGAAGGATTCACATGGACCAAAAAGAATTGAGTTTCTCGAGAACACTAGCCTGGAGAACTGAAAATCATTTCCTGCAAATTAATATTACTCATCATAATTTAACTGAATTATCTGAAACTAATCCATAACTAAGTATTCATTGAAGTTTTTTTTGCATGGTAAATATGAAATGCATGATCAACATGTTAATATTTAACTCCTGATAAAAACATGTATGATCAAAATTAATGATGCACTGGAAAAAGCAAAGCTAAAACTGTTATATATACTAGGCAAATATGTTAATAAAGATTTTCCTTTTTATGATCAAGAAGAAATACCAACACCAAGAAAATCTATGAAAGGAACATCCTCCTTTGTTTTGATGGGATCATCTTCTTGCTCCTGCTGGGAATTGCTCGGTACTCTAATTTCTTTGTTATTTTCAAGTTTATGGTACCAAAAAGAACTTGGAACAACCCTCCTGTAGTTTGGGAGACCAAATGCACTGAAATTCCTGAAGCTGTATGCTGAAGCATTTGAATGATGCTTATATAAAGAGTGATCTAATGTATTTGAGCCCTCCATGGCCATTAAATGAGCTTTACCATGATCTCTTCTTGATAATTCAGCTAAAGATGTATTGTTCGAAGCCATCAATGTTGACGAAGAAAATGCCCAAGATGGTGAAGAAGTTGAAGATGAGGGTGTGATTGAGAAAAACTTATCTTTTTTGGGGTTTTGGGATTCAAAATAACTACCAACTCTAAACCCAATTCTCGAGCTAAAACTATCTTGAAATCTTGATTTCCTTGAGGCAAAACCAGTTGAAATTAGATTGGAATCATTAAGACCATCTTGAAAGCTTCTCTTCCCGCTAAGTTTGGATTGTTCCCTTTGTTTTCTGGCCATTATAACATGCCAGTGGTTCTTCACTGCATTATCAGTTCTACCAGGAAACAGTCCAGCTATCAGTGCCCATTTGTTCCCATGAATACGGTGTGCTGCAAGGAGCCTTTCTTCTTCTTCTTCAGAAAACGGTCTCCTGTTGATTCTAGGGTCAAGTTGATTAAACCACCTCAATCTGCAGCTCTTCCCTACCATAAGCATATACGGATAAAACTATTAAATGGAAAGGAGAAAGAAGGAAAGAAAGAAAGAAATTGATTCTCCTTTTTGTTTATAATCAGTTTTCATGAATTATGATGAAGAAAACTAAGTAATCAAGTATTGCTTCTTTCTCCTGTGCCATCAAAACTTAAGATGTTGATTAATTAGGTAAAAGGGAGATATCTGATAAACGACATCTCTAAAATACTAATAAAAAAACTCAATAATAGAGGAAAGGTCATGGTATTTTCTTGAAAATCATGCTTTAGTTCTTCTAGATTATAAAAAAAAATCAACCAAAAACAAAAATATAGTAATTAATTTACCTGATCTTCCTCGGAGCTTTTCTGCAATAGAGTTCCAGTTTTGTGCACCATCCTGTTCAACAAGTTGCCTGAGTTTTTCATCCTCAGCAGGCCTCCAATGACCTCTAGGGCAAGTAGTCCTTGCATCATCACTGGAAGCTGCACCGGAATTCTCCATGGATAAGTGATGGAATAAGTCTGTCATCAAGCACCGCCAAAGGGAAGTGTCCAAGAAGAAATAGGAGGAAGAAAGGAAAACGAAAGAGAATAAGAAAGTGCGGTTGGTTTAGGGTTATGGATGGGAAGTCACTTTTGTTGGTTTTACACGACAACATTAAACATATGTACCTCTATATAGAACCACTGACTGACCCTTTTCTTAGCTATTGGCCCATGAACCACTCTATCAATAACTCTCTTTCTATATATACATACATACATACATATATATACATATATATATACATATATATATATATAGATATATATATATATATATATATATATCACTGTTTCTTATACCGTTTTAAGCCATGGTATTACGTTAAATCAAGCCTGGTGATTAGGGAACCTACTAGTTTTTGTTAAAGGGACAGCTGGTGCTAAGGCTACTTACTTCCTAATTACTTCGATTAACAAGGCATCGATCATGAATTATCACCTTTGATAAACTTTAATTTTGTTTTCTGATGTTGCTTTTCTCATATGCTAATAATGCACGGATGCTTGCACATAATATTAACAATAAACATTTTAGAAACCCTAGGTTGAATCAAAATATAGCTTCTTTTAATTTCTTATACATGTTTTGTTTTCCTCTGTTTCATACGAAAAATTCGCTCAAACCCACAAAAGTAAAAGAAAACTGTGCATTGGATTGAAAATTTTATTTATGTTGAACGATCACTAATGCTTCTTATTTGAAGGATTTTAAAGCATGCACATGCACCATCTGAGTTAGATGATTCCGAAATTAGGGTTTTAATTTGTTTGTTTTGCATGATTACTTCTGATTCCCAGAAACTGCTATACCCACCAAACTTTAAAGCTGTCGAAGTAATCGACAACCCGTTTTTGTGTAGAATGTACGAATTAATGCTCCTCAATTAGAATTTGGGTTTTTCTTTTGGAACAGTCTTTAATATTTTAATGACGATTTGACAAAGTCACGAGAAGAAAAACAACAGTATTGATATATAAGACAAGAGAAGGCTAACTTGCTGGTTTGTTTTTCAATATTACTGCCCCAATTGAAAAATAATAATGGCTGTTGTTGCACGCTTCCCTTCCTTGTTATAGCAAAATGAAAGAGATCAGTAAAACCAAGGGCATCTGCTTCGGTCCCTGCATTGGAGCATAAGGTTCGACAGCAATGGTAGTTTCAAAATATTTGACAAAAATGACACTTCACCTTAATAATGTCTGCCCTGTTGATAGCGCTTAAACTATTACCTTGGGTTGTTATATGTCCTCCGAAAATAGTATCTTTGTCCACGACTCTTTCGGAGTTGCGTGATTTATCATAATCAAACCTGTTCCAGCAATTATAACTATTTGTTTAGATTAACCTAAAGATAATAATCATCATCATAGATCTGACACCAACCATTTTATAATCAGTGTATTTGAGCCTTCATAGAAAAACTAAAAGAAACAATCCTCTCCACTTTCTCATCTTTCTTCATTTAGAATCACCGGCCGACGATCATTACCTTACTGATCATAATTTTCCTTTCGAAACATAAGGGTGAACCGCTAACTACTGATGATACCAAATTGTCCAATCGACAGAGAAAATAATTATTTTATAGGTGATTGATGTATAAATATTTTTTTGATGAACAAATGTTATTTTACATAATTTTCTATGAACAAATTCCGCTTTCAAACCAAATATAAGAATGTAATTTGAAAGGGTTGATGTAAATACCGTGCAATGACAGCATCAAGAAAGTATGGCTAAACCGTTTGCCTTTTCCCATACTTTCAATGCAGATGGCAAGTCTAAAACGAACGCTGGAAAAGAAATAATTAATTTATCATATAAATAATTTTATTTTTCTTAACTGAATGAGATTTTATAGCCTACCAAATCAAATATTTGAAATCCTAACTAAACGCTCATATTGAATTAAGTAAAATATAAAACATAATTATAATTTTAATGTTTTATTTACCGACAAGGGATGTTGGATTTTTAAATTATCTGTTTTATTTTGGTAATTTGTAGCTCAGGGTCAGGTACTCGGGTTTGATCCTTATTTACAGTGGGGGAACCAAAGAGAGATTAGTGGGGTCATGTCCTCCCCTTAAAATTTAAAAAATTATAATTTAGACAATTAATTTTTTTTAAAGATTTAATTTAGTCCTCTTAAGAATTTTAAAAATTCAAATTAAACTTTAAAATTTTAGTGTTCTTAATTAATCTCCTCCCATAAATTTTAAAAATTCTCATTAAGCCTATCAAAATTCAAAAATCCTAGTTAGACCCTAATATTTTGGAAAAAATGTAAACTAAACCCTTCAAATTTTTTAAAATTTTCATTTTAAATCTCCGAATTTTTATGAAGTTTTAATTTGTCCCCCAACTCTATTACCAAGTTCCGTCACAGCTTATTCGATGACTTTATTTTACTGTTCCGGATGAATGCCTTCACCTTCTCTTCAGTGATCATTTTCTTTCTCTATATATTTTTTTAAACAAGTTTTAGAATATATCATATTATCTTCCAGAAATCTTATCGATCGTAACAAATTGATCAAAAGACCTAATTGCAGTGCAACATCTTTCCGCACAAAAAGATGAAAGGTATGCATCCTCCAATCTCCACCTCTCAATGAGTGTCTTGATTGTTGGGTTTTGCTTAAACTCTCAACCAACTGATACAAGTATAAAAAATAGTTTGATCAAAATACTCAATAATGGCATCTGAGAAGTCTCCACACATGATAAATAAATAGATCAAGAATTCGATCATTACTATGTTAAATTTAAATAATTATTCAAATTATTTCTAAAAAATATATTAAAAATAAAAATATAAAAAATACTATTAATAAACATTTTCTTACCATCTATGATAAATAAGTTAAAATATACTTCTTTTTTAATTGTTGGGTTTTAATTTGTGTAGTATAAAATAATATGTGAAACAAACGATACACTAATTATACAAGTATAATAAATAAACTAAGATTTATTAAATTAATATGTAAAATAAATAAAAATTATAGACATCATGTTTTAAAATTTTATAGTTTTTGATACATCGACACCCATATTAAATAAAAAAATGTAGAAAATAGACAACTAGAATAAATTACTTTTTTTTATGAAAATACACTAATAATATAATCAAAACAATAGAAAACTCATAAGGCTTAAATGTCAAAAAGTGTCCAACATATGCTTTTGGTTTCGGTTTGATGGCCAACGTTTGTTTTCGTTTAAGTTTGGTGTCTAATGATTTATTCCGTAACTCAATATGGGTTAGGCCGTGATGGACAGTTAATTTCGGCCGTTAAGTAACACGTATCACAACCTGATAGTTTTAAAAATTTTATTTAAAATTAAAAAAAATAAAATTGTATATATTTTTAAAAAGAAAACACAAATTTGAAATAAACCCAAAACTTTGAAAATCTTCATTTCAACCACTAAACCCACCTCGGCCGCCGAGTTTTGCCATTGACGAAGCTCCACCCGACCTCCCCTCCCCTCAGCGACCAAAATCTCTCATAAAATCGTGATAGACCGACGACCGATCGATGACAAATCAACATTTTATACCCCAAAACCCTAGGATAAAAATCGCGATTCCGCACGATTCTGACGGCCAATCAACTGTCGATCGGTCACAATTTCATGGGGGGTTTTGGTCATCGAGGGGAGGGGAGGTCAAGTGGAACTTTGTCGACGGCAAACGGTGGTGGCCGGCGTGGGTTTAGGGTTTGAAATGAATGTTTTCAAAGTTTTAAATTTATTTAAAAATTAATGTTTTCTTTTTAAAAATATATATGTAATTTTAATTTTTCACTTTTAAATAAAAATTTTAAAAGTACCAGGTTGTGAACGTATCACTTAATGATCGAAATTAAGGGTCCATCACGGTCTAACCTAAACTAAGTTACAAAATGAAACATTAGACACCAAATTGAAATAAAAAAAACATTAGATATCAAACTAAAACCAAATGCATATGTTGGACACATTTTTGATAATTAAGCCGACTCATAAATAATAAAAAAACATACCTTCCAAAAATTTTCTTTAAAAAAATTATAATATTTTTACTCTTTTTCGACGTGAAGAAGAGAGAGAGAGAGCTCGAGGGAATTTTGATAGGAAGATGCGAATTGTAATCCGTACTTCTCTGCTTCCGTAAATCAAAATTGAGGGATTTAATTATGCTTTGTCGCCTAAGGTAAAGAAGGAATCAGTTGAACGTGTATTTGTTATACATAATCGAAAATAATATAATTTTCTTGAAAAGCATTTAGGTTTTAATCTTAAATAATAAACTTTAAAATAAATTATTTTCTCTTAATTTTTTTATAAAGAAATTATTGTTATTTTTTAAATTTAAATATTATAAATGTCTAAAATATAAATATGTCAGATGATTAAAAATTACCTTTAAATAAATATCATCTTATATTTACTTAATAATAAAAAATATCAGGAATTCGTTTTAATACGGAAAAATAAATGTATTGGGACGTATTCCCTCACAGGTGTTTAGCAATGATGATGTCAAGGGGTAATATATATTGTAATGTAAAAAAAATCACAACTGATACCAAGATTTGCAGCACTTAATAAGATATTCAATTTGGGGACCACTTCCCCACTATTACAAAGAAACAACTTAGAGAAAGGCTGACAAGTACATGTACATATAAATATTTTTTTAATAATGTGGGTTACATTTATTCGAATGATTTTTAACTATTTAACATTTAACACTTGAACACTTTTATAAACATTATATTTGAACCTAAAATTTCTAAGAAAATAATTATCTTTTGTTGCAATATTCCTTTAAACATAAATAATAAAAAAGGTTTCTCTTGAAAAAAGAAGGTGAAGGAAGAAAGCGAGTCAGAGTGATAATTTATTATCCTCAAATTAATCCTTCTCATAGATTATTGTCTCAACGAAAAATTAATTGTAAGGGTGAAATCTTGATATGATACGAAAAAGCAATTAAGAAGAAAAAAAAACGTAATTCTCATGGTTATAGGATTAAACAAAGGGATTCACTATATATATATATATATATATATATATTAATCACACTGCACTGTAA